CATTCGCAGTCGTATCAAACCCAAAAAAACAGCGAAATGATCTGATTTATCAAAATAAATGATCAGTAACCACGAATTAGATGGTTATTTTCATACATTCATCTATTTATACTGAAAGCTTTGAAATTTGCGATAATCCTTCGCCTGCATCTTCTTATCGTAGATAATGGCGAACAGACGCAGCTCCTGGAAGTTAGAAAGAAAACTATTTGGTAGAATAGTTATCTTGATTTCAAAGAGTAAAAAAAGAAAAAGTTTCTGCAGAAACTGCTCGTTTTGGAAGCTGATGGTGAGTTTTAATGATGTCAAATTAAATGAAGTGTTTATTACTTCGTATAATAATAATAATAATCTGAAAATTAACGCGGAGGATGTGGGAGCGCTTCTAATGTTTTTGCTGCTTGCAGCATTTTCCCTTAGCTTTAGCTTTTTTTTCTGTTAGCATCATTTCAGACCTTTGATTCCCTCAGACACCATAAAATAGGGTTTTAATGTAAAAAAATCAAATAGTTTAGAAAAAAAAGATATTTCCATATTTATGGGCAGAAGTGGTTTATGGGCAGAAGTGGTTTATGGGAGGAAGTGATGCAGAGCGGCAGGAACAGGCCCGGTTCTGTATCTGCAGGACGGTGAATGGATGAAGGGAACGGCTGAAGGCGCCATGCTGACCTGCAGCCTCTTCATGGTCTGAGAGTCCTGGTCCGCCTTGACCTTACAGGCCACCAGCAGCTGAGCGGTGGAGGCCGCCACCTGCTTGGCCGAAGAGATGAGCTTCTCCTCGCTGGCGTGTCCCTGCACCGCCGAGTTGGCCGCTTCGCACAGGTTGTTGGTGGCCGCCGCCACCATCCGGGCCTAAACGTCGGAGAGGAACAAAGGTTTACTGACGGCGTCTTTCACCTTCATCACTCCAAGTCGTAGGCGGGTAACTTACAGCTGAAATCAGGCCCTGAGACCACTGTCCATCATCCACGGCATTGGCTGGGATTGCTCCCACCTGGAAACAGCTGATTTATTAGAGCGCCCCCCCACAGCGGGAAGAATGAGGCTGCCGGTTCTGCCAACATACCTTCCCTTGAGCAACCAGCTCCCTCTGAGCTGCTGAAGCTGCTTTCACCAGAGCACTGGTAGCAGCTGCGATGGACTTGGCCGCCTCCAGAATCTGCTCCTCAAAGTTCAGACTCTCATCCGCCTCCTGGTGGTCAGAGTGGAGAACAACACCGTGATAAGCAGCCGGAGCTGACCGCACATCAGAGAGGGGGGGGGGGATAACAAATGAGGTGTGAATGCCTGCAGACAGCCCCTAACCTTGGGTTTGGTCCTCGGCCTCAGCTGCTCCAGTTTCTTGGCAGCTGCTTCGATGGCGGCCGCGGCTCCCAGCAGCTCGTTCTCTGCGATGACAGTGGGGTCCTCGGGGTCCACCCACTCCGTGCCTGCAGCACACAGAGATCACAGCGGCTCAGCCGGCGCCAAAACACCGTCAGACTTCACTCTTTCCAAACGGTGTCAGGCTGCACAGCAAGCTGAGCTGCTGTCAGATCTTCCTGCAGCCCGGGAACGCCGTCCTTTAACCTGTTAGCATCTTCCTGAACCCCAGGTCAGAGCTAACCAGCTCATTCAATTCTATTCAGTTTATTTCTATAGCTCCTATTCACTTCATGCCATCTAAAGGCTCTTTACAGTTTAAAGTTTTCTATCTAAGGACAACCAGCTGATTGCATCGACTCTTCAGCAATCCCTCAGCTTATGATGGAAGATCAGGCTGCAGCTTTTCTCTGACCTCACTGGGTTTAGTTTGAGTCTGAATATTCATTTACAACGAAAAAACTAAAAATATGGAGTATTAAGGCCAGGCTAGGGAGTTTATTTTACTGTAATTAAGAGAATAAAGTCATAATCTTAGGAGAATGACATCATCATATCGCCCCGTTTCAGACAGGAAGCTTCCAGCTCATTTCTAAGGTCTGATACTGATTTGATGTTAAAAGACTTCATATTTCCTTTATTTGTGAAACTGATGCATAAGTTTAACTTCACAAGATGTTCAACATTCCTTATTTTAGGGAAGACGGAGCTTCTGGTTAGAGTTGTTATAAAATACAACTTTATTCTCATAATGTTATGACTTTAGTCTCATATAAAAGAACCAATCTCTAGTCTGGCCTTAATAAAGACATTTATTTCTATAATAAAAGATGTCATAAAGGGAAAATAAAGCAATACAGAAATCTATTAAAAGATTGGTTGGTTCTGAATTCAGAAGAAGATGTTTGGGATTAAGTCGGGATTAAGTCGGGATTAAGTCGGGATTAAGTCGGGATTAAGTCGGGCTCTGCTGTACCCACCCTTCATGGCCTCGGCTGCCTGGATCAGCTCCGTCACGCTGCCAGCCACCCGCTTGGAGAAGTTGGCGAGCTGCTGCTTCAGGTCATGAGTGGGCTTCTGGATAATCTATTGATGGAAGAAACACATCAAGTTTACTCTGTGATCTATCAATACAACATTAACGTCCATTCCATTGGAAATCTATTGCCAATAATCTGATGAGTGGGCGGAACGCCATTTTCTAGAACTGACTAAGTTGTGCTCATTATCCATGAGTATAGCTCTGTGTGGACAACACTGTTCCCTCTGAAGATGGGATGTTCCTCCATCAACAAACCCTGAATGGACCCTGAAATAGATGCTCTCCTCAGGGACAAGAAAACAGTCTTCAGATCAGGAAACTGCCCCGCCTTGCTA